AGGAAGGCAGGCAAGGCAGCTTCTGGGTTTAATTTACATGAGTTGCCTGGTTGGGGTGTGGGCTGTAGAAAACCCTGGAGAAAAATCTCTCAGATATCTCTTCAGTGTTTTTCAAGAGCTAAAGTGTGTATACTAACCCATGTTGCAAATTATACCATTTGCTAAACTGTATACATATACATATACTGGTATGTGTATATATACATATAAATGTACATATATACATACAAACACACACACATATATGTATATGCATATATACATACATAATTCATGCTCTCAATGCTAGAAAAATATCAACCTTTCATTGTCACAATTTTAAATTTTTATGTAATCATTCAATTGTTCAGTGACCCATGAGGCTAAAGTCCTTGTATACATTTGAGATGAATTTTGCCTTGGGTCCTTGTAATGGCAAAATTCATCTCAAACGTATACAAGGACTTTAGCCTCTTCCAGATGTCCTTCTGGATAAAGCCACAATGGTGGGGGCCAAGGCAGAGGCGGTTAGGGGCAATCAGGCTGGCAGAGGAGAGCAGTTAGGGTCGATCAGGCCAGCAGGGGATAGCAGTTAGGGGCAATGAGGCCAGCAAGGGAGAGCAGTTAGGGGGAAATCAGGCCAGCAGGCAGAGGCGGTTAGGGGCGATCAGGCAGGCAGGCGGGCGAGTGGTTAGGAACCAGCAGTACTGGATTGCAAGAGGGATGTCTGACTGCCAGTTTAAACTGGCAGTCGGACAACCCCTGAGGGGTCCCAGATTGGAGAGGGTGCAGGCCGGGCTGAGGGATGCACCCTGCTGTGCATAAATTTCAGGCACCAGGCCTCAAATATTATTATATTTATATGTAATGTCCAGAATAGGTAAATCCATAGAGACAGAAAAGAGACCAATGTTTTCCAGGGGTTGGTGAATTAGAAATGGGGAGTGACTGCTAATGGGCAAAGGTTTCTTTTGGGGAAGATAAAGTTGTCCTGAAATTGACTGTGGTGATGGTTGCACTACTCTGAATGTACTAGAAACCATTGAATTGTAGATTTAAATGAGTGAATTGTACAGTATGTGAACTAGAACTCAATAAAGCTGTTAGATAGATATTGTCAACCTCTACCACATGTATCAGGACAATACCTGGTGCCTCTCAAAGACACATATGTCTATGCTCTGTAAATGCTACATTCTAAAGCAGGGGTACAAGACCTCAGGTAGCTTTTTTTTCTCTTCAAGAAGTACATAATTCTTAATTTACACTAAATAGAAGGAGTAATGATTCCATGATGAATGAATAGAAAGTAAAGCCCATTTTTGTCTACACTTGATAATGTAATTACATCATTTTAATGAAACCTAAACAGATTTGCCATTTAGGACCCAAATTACCTGTCTGGACTGTTTAGTCTGTCACCTCCAATTACCTGAGGTTGCCTTAAGAAAGGTTGAGAAGTATGGCAGCTCAGCACTTGGAAGGAAAAACAGATTACTCATCACACACGGTGATCTATTAGGGTCCATTTGCAAATCTATTTACAACTGATTTTCAAAACCTTTTTACATTTTTGGCTCTTTTCACGAGATTTGGTGTGGATGGTATTTTGCATTAGCACCAATAGGGCAGAATTAGTTGTCCTTTAATTCTAATTGAGAAAAAAAATATTTCTGTTTCTACAGTGTAGATTGTAGGCTCTAAGTGCTAGAAGCAGCAATATTTTTTTTTTCTGAGAGAAGAAACTCAGAGAAGGCTTTGAGGAGACCGGGTTTCTACTGAGCCTAAGGTTTTTGAGGTAGGAAAAGCCACTTCTCTTAAGGTGCCTCATGTACATCAGTGAGCTCAGAAGGAAAGCATTGGATGGGCAGTGTGTAGGTAGACTCATTCAGCTTCCCCTTACCTATTACATGCTCCATGAATCCATCTGGGAAGATGGTAATTTGCTCACTGGGACAGATTTTCCGGGACATTGCTAACTCTATGGAGCAGGCAGACCTCAGCCAACACGTGTCAAGTACAAAGCATTCTTGCCTCCTTCTTTATGGCCTTTCAACTTGCAAAGCATCAGTAACTACCCAGGTTCTCCAGGTCTTCTCAGCTTTTAGGAAACAGCAGTTCCTTTACAAGTTGTCACTGGCATTAGACCACTCTGCCCTGTCTGTGTGCAGTAGTGGGCAGAGCTGGAACTGAAGCGGGCAGAGCTGGAGCTAAAGCAAGCTCAGAAGAGCTTTTTCACATTCTGACTTCCTGCATTTGTTCTGGAAATCAGTTGCAGTTTAAGACAAGAAAAATTCATGTCTGTGCCTCATTCAGATTAGATCCACACTCACTTAGAAAGAGGAAAGCATTTAATGTGTGGGGACAGGGTTTACAGGCTTCCTTCCTAAGAATGTGTGTTCCTTCCAAATGGTTGTGGAACAAATGTGCTATTTTAAATAGCAGTGATTATGGGGTATAATCAAGACTCTGTGTTTAGTGTTAGGGCATGATAATATTAGTATCTAATAGGTATTGAGCCTTGGTTAAGTATATTGCTGTTCTCACTTTACAGAGAAGGAAACGGAAGCTTAGGGCCTGTCCAGGGACCCACAGCTCAGAAGAAACCAAGTGGATCTGAATTGAGATCTTTCTCCTAACCACATTAGCACACTGCCTTTGGGAGTAAATAATGTCCCTGTTACAAGTCAGACTGAGCTCTGATTTGCACTCGATACTGGGACAGGAGGTATAGATGTAGATTTAGATTTGATTCCATACCTAATGGTGTATGTAATTACCTGATTACTACTATTAGTATATGGCACTGTTTGCTGAGATGCCAAAGTTTGTATTTCATGTAGGAAACTAGACTGGCAACCGCAGCTTAACACATTAATGCTGGTAATTAGTGAAGCTCTAACTTAACTAAATGGACCATTTGAAATCAGTGTGTAAATGGAAGTACAGTAATCCATCTGTCATCCCAGTCTACCTCTTTTGTCCTTAGTTTGGATACTGGATGTAGTTCTTTAGACACCTAGACATTTCTAATAAACTGTGTACAAAAAACATCAATAAAGGGGAGAAATGCTGAAGTCCTGATAGGGCTTTTGGTTGATTGAGTCCAACCAATAATGCCCATTAGGCTCTTATTTGATGGACGAGCCTCCGGTCTAAAGTACATAAGCTGGATGTAACCTTTTCCTCCCTTTCCATACAGGTGTTGAGTCTGATTGGTCTCCAATGCATGAGGCTGCAATCAATGGGCGTCTGCTCTCTTTGAGGAGTCTCATCAGCCAGGTAGGTAGCTTTTGGAGAAAAAAAGAAGATAAACATTAAGCACATCCTATTGCTCACCACACTGAGAAAAAAAAATCATAGTCTGATATTAAGATATAAATTCCTCTTCAGCAAAGCGAGGCGAATCTGATCCTATCCAACCATTTTTAAAATTTGGAGGCTGGCATAATACTAGAATTTAGCACAATTCTATGCACATAATAAGTACTATAATAAGTATCTATTAAATGAATAAAGGGGAAATTAGTGCATTTAAGTTGTCTTTACTTTATTCAATATAGACTATGTTCTTTAAAATTATCATGTAATTTTAGTTCTTCATTGGAGTGATTTTGCCCCATAAGGGACATTTGACAATGTCTGGAGACATTTTTGGTGCTCACTACTGGGAGTGGGCATGGTAGCGTGATACTGGCATATAGCAGAGAGAAACCAGGGATGTCACTAAACATCCTACATTGCACAGAGCAGTTCTGCACATCAAAAAATTAGCCTAAAATGTTAGTAGTTCTATTGAATCTTCAGTTGATAGTAGCTCTGCCCAGTTTGATATTAATTTTAAGTCACCATTCAAAATTCTAAAGTTTTTGTTCAGTATGTTCTGTTTTCTGAAAAGACAATAGATCTTTTAAATTAGGAGCTCTCGACATTTTCTGACTATAATCCCCTTTGACAGTCTGGCAAAGTCTATAGACCCCTTCTCAGATTAATGTTTTAAATACACAAGACATAATACAGAGAAAAGCTATCAAGATATTACATGACAAATGTGTGACACTTCTTCATTAATGCATCAAAGAAGATTTAGTGGTGATTCTAATGACTACCATAATTTCTAAGTAGGATGAACATATATTTTGGCTATTTTAAATATTTGTAAGAATTGGTATGTAATAAAATTATCTGTGATTCCTCTCCATGATAGTCCTATAAACTGTTATTACTACTGTGGTTTATTGTCTACATCCATAATTGAATAAATAATTGAAGGACATGATACATTTCAGATAGTGGTTAGTGAAAATAAATGTGCTTTCAAAACAAATTCCAATTTCACGGATTTTTCTAGAATAAATAACTCTCCTAGTAGAAAGCAATTTCTAAAGAAAATTTTCAGACTACTCTAAGCCCCTATCTTAAGCTGTTTTTGATAGCAACAGCTTATTATAAGTAGAAATTTAGATAGTAACTCTAGCTAAAAGAAGTTAAGCTTCTTCACAGATAAAATGTGACATTTACCTTATTTTAATAGGACGAAAAATGATCATTGCAGCTTTTATATGTCACTTATTAAATTGGACTCATACTCATTTATATTCAGTAATTTATACGTTTACTGAACATCAGCCAGAACTATGCCTTTATCTAAGCTCTATCTCATTATTTGGGCAAGTTATCTTTGTGGAACCTGAATTTCTACTTTTATAAAATGAGCATTCCAATACCTATCTGCATTAGTCAGATATTCCTGTGGAACAAGCCACCTCAAACTCAGTGGCATATGCAATAAACACTTCTGGCTAACAAGTCTTTACATCAGCTGATCTAGTCTGGGTTTGATTTCAAGCTGTGGGTTGGGTGCAGCTCTGCTGCATATGTCTCCCATCCTTCTTTGACCACTGGCTCCATGAGACATTTTCTTCTCATGGCAAAAGACTGGAACATAGCAGGGCAAGCCCAACAATGCAAGAGTACTTGCAGGAATAATTCCTTGCCATGGAGCTCATCAAAACAATAAGCCAACAAGTGAGAGGACAAGAGAGAGAGCAAAATGAAAGTCAGTCTTGAGTATAGGTACCTAAGAGTCAAATTGTTGGGTCATAAGTATTATATCATCAACTCTAATAGATACCGTCAAACTTTTCCTGAATGGTTGTATCATATTACATTCCCATCAGCAGTATGAAAGATCCTTTTTTGTTTTTGTTTTTCTGCATCATTGTATATTGTCAGATTTTGAGTCAGGTGAACTTTTAAAAGAGTTGTCATACTGGGTTCCTAGCTGAAAACCAACCTTAACAGAACCGATGCTTTGCATATGCAATAAACATGAGTAAATTCCCTTATTCTGCTCACGTTCCTTCCTCCAGGGGTGGGGTGTGAACATCCTCACAGCAGATTGTGTGTCCCCACTCCATGAAGCCTGTCTTGGAGGTCATCCCTCTTGTGCATCCATTTTATTAAAGCATGGAGCTCAGGTAAGTGCTGCTCAAATAACATCTTAGAAACCATGAATGAAAAATTACTATTTCTATCCCTTCAGAATAATTCCCAGCATTTTTGATTAGCCTGATTTGAAATGTGAAGAGGGATGTTTTTCAAAAGTATTATGTCCATCAAGGTTGTCTGCGTTAGCAATAGATGTACCGAATTTTCAGCTAGAAAGTAATAGTTCCTGTCTATCTCATTCTCTTCGATACTCAGTACTATTAAATAGCTGTTAGATTTCTGTCTTCATTCTAATGGCTTGAAGGTAGTGAAATATTTGTAGAAAACACACAACATTTGGCTTCTGATCCAAGTAGTGGTCCTAAGCCAGTGATGGCGAACCTTTTGAGCTCGGTGTGTCAGCATTTTGAAAAACCCTAAGTTAACTCTGGTGCCGTGTCACATATAGAAATTTTTTGATATTTGCAACCATAGTAAAACAAAGACTTACATTTTTTATATTTATTTTATATATTTAAATGCCATTTAACAAAGAAAAATCAACCAAAAAAGTGAGTTCATAGGTGTCATAGGTTCGCCATCATTGACTTGGCCATCTCTACCATTTACTAACATTGAAAACTTGAACGAGTTACTTATTGTTTGAGCTCTAGAGTCTACATCTTAAAAATGGAAGAAATAACAAAGAGTTGTGTAACTTATTGTGCTACTTCAAGAATTGAAATATATACAGTATATGATTATTATTTGGAGAATGAGAATCAGGATAGCATAATGAGAGATCCTAGAGGAAGAAGAAGGCAAAGCCATTTAATTTGAGTAAGTCTTCCATTAACTAAGTCTTCTCATGCTCAAAAGTGATAGGAAAATCTGATCTGAAAATTGTATATGACTTGCTCATATTCTCTTAACCGGCATTTATTATATTTATTGAGCATGTATTGAGCATTTATTATATACCTAACTGTGGATAAGACTTTTAGGAACTCTTAAACTAAATGAGACAACCCAATAAACAGGGGTTTTAAACGGCTATAACACTAGCTGCTTCAATACATGAACACTAGCCTAACACAATGAAAGTTTGTTTTTTGCTCAACTGAAATTCCAGTGTGGGTGTTGCCAGGTGGGTGGCTCTTTCCCAAGGGTTATTCAGGAATACAGGCTTCTTCCATCCTGCTCCACTATTTTCAACAAGTGGCTTCCATGTGTGCTCTTGGGGTAATCTCCATTTCAGGTGGTTGAAAAGATGTGGAGATTTGTTCATAGAAACTTTTAAAACAAGTCTAGGTAGTAACATAGATCACTTTTGCCCACATCCATTGGCCAGAACTCAGGCCACATCTAACTGCCAGGGAGGCTGGGAAATATAGTATGGTTGTATGCTCAAGAGAGAAGAAATAGCATCTCAGCCACAGAAAGCATTTACAGTACACTATTTTTATCCATTAGTTTTTGCTGTGTAGCGAACCACACCAACTTAATGGCTTAAGACAACAGCCATTGTTTATCTCACAATTCCTTGTGTTGGCTGGATAGCTCTTTTGGTCTGGGATGGTTCAGCTGACCTCAGCTGGGCTTACTTATGCATTTGAGATTAGCTGATAGATTGGCTGGAGCAGGCAAGTTCATGGTAACCTTGAATGGGTTAGCTGAGATGTCTGGGGAGCCAGAAACATCTCTATGTGGTCTCTCATCTTTTAGCAGGCTGCCTGGACTTGTTTACATGGTAGCAGGGATTCCAAGGGAAGCAAAAGAGGGCAAGGTCTCTGCTTGTAACACATTTTTTACTGTCCCATCAGCCAAAGCAAGTCACATGGGCAAGCCCAGATTCAAGGACTGGAAAAAATAGTCTCCATCTTATGAAGACTTGCAAAGCCACACTGCATACCATGCAGAGAATCTGTGGCCTTTTTGCAAACTATAATGTACTAAGTGTTAATTGTAAGGGGGTTGTTGGAAGCACATAGACGTGCTCCCAATTCATTATTTCTCATGGGGAGAGAGACAAAACAGGCTTCCTTTAGGAAATGAATGATGTCTAAGCTGAAACCTCAAGGACCTATTGAAGTTACTCAGCTAAATGGTGGGTTGGGAAAAATGGTGGGCTTCCTTTCCACTGGGAATACCAAATGCAAAGGTCTGGAAATGAAAAGCACATTTTTGTGATTTCAAATCATTCCTTATAGCAGGAGAATAAAGTGGGTGGGATGGGTCAGAATACAAACACCCTTGTTGTCCATGCCAAGAAAATGAACTTTGTCCTGACAGCAGTAGAGAGCTATAGGAGAGTGCATCATCAGATTTATATTTTGGTTAAGGAAGGGCATCCAAAACTTGTAAACAGGGCCATGACTAAGGACAGGCAAGAGAGGTGCCTACGGCACAAACTTTAAAGAGCTGCCCACTTTTAGAGGCATGCAGCTCTTTTGTGACCCTGGGAGTGTCTGTCTCCTTAAATTTTATACCCCTGAGTGTCTTTTGTCACTGGTCCTGGCCTTGTCTCACAATATTATTGTTTAACAGTTCACCAAAGAATTTATTAACAATATAGAAAAATGCATCTGCATTTGGCTTTGCTCTTTCCTATTCAATGATAGCCCAAACCCTGTGAAGAGAGATGTTAATTTGTAGGTTTCTGTCTGATTTCCAATATTAGAAAAAATATCCCCAAAGATTATACTTTTATACCCCAATAGGGCATTAATCAGTTTTGTGTCTAGCAAATTGATTTCAGCATTCCATTGAATGACTTACATAAATTCTCCTTTCAGCCAGCCTTACCATCTTACTGGTTCCCTCATTAATGAATGAATTGAGAGAAAATATTTGACCTGTGTTCAACTCTCTATTTGTATGAAGGTCATGTTTTAAAAAATTTTTTAAACAATTTTGGAAGGTTACTCTGGCTGCTGTGAAGACACTGGATTGATGTGGCATGGGACTAGGATGGAATGTTTAAAATAAAGAGGTTACTTTGTAAGGTATTGAAATTATCCTAACTGGTTTCCAAGTTTGCGTTCCTGGGGAGGGCATGAAGGAGACAGAGCACTCAGTAACATTCTGGGTGCGTTACATTCCATGCCTTATTCATTTTTTCACAATAACCTCGTGGAATTTCATATTTTTGCCTCCATTTTGTGGCTGTGGAAGTTAAGGCTCAGAGAAGTTAAAATACCAGCTTGGAAGTGGTGGAGTGTAGATTTGAATGCAGGACACCCCATTGCTTTGTCTGCATTGTGGAGCTTTTCATTACAGGTGGATGGCGTTGCCACAGACTGGCACACTCCCTTGTTCAATGCTTGTATCAGTGGCAGCCAGGAATGTGTGAATTTGCTTCTGCAGTATGGAGCCAGCCCCCACCCTGCATGTGATCTGGCATCTCCCATCCATGAAGCTGCTAAGAGAGGTAAAGTTGTTGAGCATTTGTTTTCCCACCAACCCTTCAAGGGACCTCCCTGTTGAAAGAAAGAAGGAAGAAGTCAGTTTTAGAGCAGTAGTTCTCAAGGTCGGGTCCCAGGTCGGAAGCATCAGTGTGACCTAACATACAAATGTAGATTCTTGGGCCTCACTCCGGACCCATTGAACTAGTGACTCTGGTTCAGCCATCTTTGTTTCATTTAAAAAGCCCTCTCTGGTAATTCTGATCAACAGGAAACCTGAGAACTACCTTTCCAGAGCATTCAAAATGTTGTTCCCAGGGCCTGTCTTTGGTGAGGTTGTATGTGAGATTCCCTGTCCCATAGCCTGCACTGTGCCCTTTCTTCTTCAAGTCCATATTCAGTCTCTGTTCCTCCATACCTCTACTCAACTCAAACTTCCATTTCTGTACTTGGACTGATTGCAAAGCTCAAACAATTAAAAAAGGTGGATGGTTGCTAGTTGCTTAACATGGCTAGTAAACTCAAGTGCAGTTCCACCCAGAGCCGATATTACATCTATGGTCAACTTATGAACTGATGGCAGTATTCTAAGCAAAGGAAATAACTTAGGCCCCCTGGACAAGTTGCTGGCAGATTTCAAAATATGTTTACTAGAGGTAAGGGGTGGTAGTAAAGGAGGCCAAATATGTGGTGACAGAAGGAGACTAGACTTTGGGTGGTGGGTCCACAATGCAATATAAAGATGATGTATTATAGAAATGTACCCTTGAAACCTATATAATCTTACTTATTAGTGTCACTCCAATAAATTTAATTAAAATATTAAAAAAACACGAAAAATGAGGAATGTGTTTCCCTAGCTAAGAATTCATTGTGTAACTGTTTTCTCCTATTTTGGACTGCAGGCCACATGGGGTGCATCGAGTCCATTGCAGCTCATGGGGGTAACATTGACTATCATATCAGCCACCTGGGCACTCCACTCTATTTGGCTTGTGAAAACAAGCAGATAGCCTGTGCCAAGAAGCTTCTGGAAGCAGGTAAAAAAAAAAAAGAAATGAGGAGGGCTGATGAAAAGTAAATTAAATGCATTTTAAAGTTTTTATTTTTTATTGT